GGATGAGTCGGCATTCATAGTGAATACGAGTGACTCGGATGTGGAGTCGACTCGGAAGAAGGCGCCGAAGAAGAGGATACGAAATGTGGGCTCAAAGTCGAGTTCCAGTGAAGACAAGTCCGACTCCAGCGATGAAAACTCGTCTGACGAGGACTTGGATGTGTTGGACAAGTACTCGAGTACTCGGTCTCAGAGGCAGAAGGAGAATGAGATGAAGAAACGTGAGAAGAACGAGAAGCTGAAGAAGCGAATGGACGATAAGAAGAAGAGGAAACGCATGGAATACAACTCGCCCTCTGATTCGTCACAAGACAACGATTCCGGCGAAGAGAAGCGTCTGAATTGGAAGAATTGGAAGTCAAAGTCAAATCCGCCCAAAAAGAGGGTCCGACGGATAGTATCGGACGACTCGGACGATAATGAAGTGAACGGCAATCGCGACCACAAGTCTGTCGATGAGTCGCACCCGGAGGTGACCACTACTGGTGCCGTCCATCTCGTGGAAAGCGATGACGACATTGAGTACTTGGGGTCTGTGCCCGCGAGTCAGTCCACTGTTGTCCGCGATTACTATAGACAATGTATAAAATACGGTATATTTATAATCCATTTCCCCATTATTTTGATTCTTATTTCAATTGCTTATTCAGTACTTGTGACCCAACCTATAGTACTGACTATAATTGAGGGTCAATTTGTTAATAGAAATCATAGGGTTTTTATTGCATATAAACTAATTGTTTGCTAGATATGGCCCAAAACTGCCCTCAATTATAGTCTACTTCTATGTACCAAATGTGTAACGATTTGTTTAAATCTAATTTACAGGGGATTTAAGTTCATCGGACACCGAAAGTGATGCGACCGTTGATCCCAACCCTATAGAGACATCCGATGAGTTGATGCCAGAAGTGGCGCCAATAGACCACCGGAACAATGAGGCGGTAGCCAACCCCACCACTCCTCCCACGCCTGTTGATGCGGGCACTCCTCAAGAGAGACAGTCACCCGACTCGCAGAATATAATTCCTAATGATATGATGTTAGACACGATGAGTGAATCGAGTCTAGAAAACCTGTTGTTTGACTTACAGCAAAGGAGTGATGATATTAGCGTTATTAGTGATACCCCTCAACCGGCAATCTCACAGCCAGTGGCCAGTCAGGCGACCGGTGCTTTCAAACCACAACTGGACCCCTTAAAAGTCTTGACATCCGCTGAGGTTAGTACTCGCAATCGATTCGTAGTTTTAATAATGATTTTATTTTTTTAGGGCAAACCAACAGCGACTGTGGCACCAGTGCAGCCAAAGCCTGTCATACCTGCGCCCCCACCGCCACCCCCACCACCCCCTCAGCCACAACTGCCTCAGTATTGTGTGAGTGAAAAGAGAATCAAATGTCCGGATAAAATGCCATTCAGACAATATATGGTTAAGAATGGTGTGCAACACACCATCGAAGCGCCCCCTAAACTACCTCCGGAGGTGTTCATCAAAGTCATTCATTCAAGTGTTACACTAAACAAAGGTATGGCACCTGTAATCTGTTTAGTATTAATTAGTTTTTGTTTGATTACAGTGAGAAGACTGTTAAACAGTGACAGCGATGACATCGAGACACTAGAAGAGACACTTAAAGTGCCCCTCAATTGTCCGGTAATTATTTGATTTGATTTGTGTTTTGGGTAATTATTTGCATTTTAATTGATTGTATTTTTGTTGTTAAGTTATCTTATCAGAAATTGTTAGTTCCGGGCCGTTCGGTCAACTGTCCACATATTGACTGTTTTGATGTGAATAACTTCTTGGAAATTAACTTTAACCGCAAGATTGATGACTGGAAGTGTCCGAAATGCAAACAACCGGCCAAACTCGAGCACCTCATCATTGATGGGTTAGCCACTCGAAAGGCTTGAGTTTGAAACGAATTTGTAATTAATTTTATATATTTAATGACAGTCTCATCGATCATATCCTGAATATGACGCGAGCGTTGAATATGTCAGACGTGGATTCGGTTACGTTTGACAACAAAGCCATTTGGAGACCTGATGTCAAACGACCGGATAATTGTATGCAAATTCTTGCCATTTGTTTAATTGCATGAATTGTTTAATAAAATATTTTTCCTATTNGTCAGACGTGGATTCGGTTACGTTTGACAACAAAGCCATTTGGAGACCTGATGTCAAACGACCGGATAATTGTATGCAAATTCTTGCCATTTGTTTAATTGCATGAATTGTTTAATAAAATATTTTTCCTATTTAGTGGTCAATAAGAGTAACGAAAAAGACGTCATAAGTCTCGACGCGACTCTAGAGTCACAAGAGGTCATAGATCTGGAGGACGACGATGAGGAGGAACCGGATCCCATCGCGAAGACGAACCAACTCTTGAATTCAATCGCATTGCAGACCATCGCGTCGGCGAAGGATATCCAGAAGAATATCTCGAAATTTATTCAAACAAATAAACAGAATTCGAGGGCAACTTCTGGAGGTAATGCCGATAGAGAGTTGTCTGTGAATACAATTCTGAACTTCTTAACGACTCCAGTGTCCAAAACGTCAGCACCGGTACCGCCACGACCAGCGGCCGCCTCACGACCCCCACCTGCACACGCGACGGGACGGGCAGTACCCGCCACAACAGCCGGCGCTCAACAAGTGTCACGCATTCATATCGTGATACCTACTAATAAGGATCAGAGGCCGGCCGCCACCGCTAACTCTCGGCCACAAAACACAGTCAGGATATCGTCGAACCAAAATCCAACTCCCATTGCGTTTAATCGGAATTCAGGTCCTGTTAGACAGTCCGGACCCAACGCGTTGACTAACGGTAACCAACAACAGGGTGAACTCCAATTCAAATTCAACAATGACAATGTGGTCAGTGAGATCTACTGTAAACTCTGTAATGAAACAATCAATGTGTCCAACGTGAGTGATATCCCCAATCTGATGACCTACCACCTCAAGAGTGGGCAACATATGGCCGCTCAAAGCGGTTCTTCCCGTACGGCCGCCAATAATAGCAACCGTTTAGTGAATGGCGTGCACCGACCCAATGCCCCCTCAGCCGCCTATACACAGCACTTCCACTTTGGTTCAGCTACTTATCAAAATCAATATCGGCCCCCAAATCAGACACATTACCCTCTCAACACTAATCAATCGTATAGTGCTGTCAATTATGTCTACCACCCAAATGTATATCAGCAACAAATGAATACCATTTCATCGGTACCACAACCGGTACCCCCACCACAGACACATTCCGCGCCCGTATTCCAGACATCAGTTCCACAGCATTGGAATACAGGACAACACAATCAGACAAATGTTTACTATCCTAACAATTATTAATTATTGAAATGTTTCAAGTCTTAAAGCATTTCCAAGTGATAGAGACTATGTTTTTTGAGTGAATGCTCATCTCAGTCACCATTGAATAGGTTATTGTTGTTGTGAACACATTTTGTGTCTAACTGTAAATAAAAGTGCCTCTGATTATATTTTTAGCCATTTCTGTATTATTCATTGAATAATAATAACTATTCAACTCATTCATAGAATTCAATACATTGCTAACTTGTTTGATTAAAATTAAAGATATTTTTGATTAACAAATGATTATTTTATTAATTCTGTTTTACAGTATGAAGATTTTTAATTAAAAACAATATGTTTTATTTGATACCCCTTTTATCAATGATTAATGTTTTGCAACGTTTTTATGATTATATTTGAATGAAAATTAAATAAAGTCAATTCAATCAGTAATAATAGATTTAGTTTTTTCAATTAGTCAAACGCAGTGTGTCAAGTTAAAATATAAAAGTTGTACCGTAGGAAACTTTTCTATATCTAAAATTAGTACAGTGTTATGGAATTTTATCCAGGGTATAGTGGTATTTATTATTATACATATGTATCCTACAGTAGTACTGTATGAGTTTAGCAAATATAACTTATAAGTCTCCTAGTCTACTGTTCCCAATTTGTATGTTTAAAAACAACAGCCATATTATTAGGTCAAATGATTTGCCATTTTTTACATCAATTTGAATGGAAATGATTGATAAAATAGCAATTCATACGAATATTTGGCATAAACTTCTGAAACAGTGTTTCACATAAGGGTTGAGCACATGATCTGCTCGTTGACAGTGAAGTGAGAGTACAGACTCTCCTCAATACACATCACTATTACAGTCAAACATATCGACAAAATTAATGTCTTTTTTATCGCTGTTTAACGTCATATCAAATCTGAGATATTATTTGTGATATATATTCACATCCCGTGTCTTAAGACGAGTCTTTTGCCTCGAGTTGCCTCACGAGTCGAGTCTGTCTGTCAGTCGCATCCAATCCAAGCCATGAGTAAACAGTTTGACGACCCAAATGTCAAACCCAAGTGTTTGTGGTCATTGGACAAGACATCTGGGCCTCAGGACCCGCACCATCACGACTCACCCGCGGCTAAGCCCAAGATACTGACCAACATATTGGAACAGATCGGTGACACACCACTCGTCCGACTCAATAAGATTCCCAAAGAGTATGGCGTGAAATGCGAAGTGTTGGCCAAATGCGAGTACTTCAACGCCGGCGGATCCGTTAAGGACAGGATCGCACTGAAGATGGTGTGCGACGCCGAGAGGGATGGCATACTCCGCGAGGGCTTCACTATCATTGAGCCCACGAGTGGTAATACGGGCATTGGGTTGGCGTTGGCGGCGGCGGTCAAGGGATACAAATGTATTATCGTTATGCCGGAGAAGATGTCCAACGAGAAGGTGAATG